TGGGACGAGAGCTTTGACGGACCTAAGAAAATGGCTTCAAGGGCAGCTCCAGTGGAAACGACATCGAAGCGTAACGTTATTCCAGTATCACTAGGTGATACTGAAGATGACTTGAGCATGCTAAATGATGCATCGGGTGAAGATACCATGCTTGAAGCCAAACGAAGCCAAACTTTTCAGCCATTGACGTCAGACGAAAGCTCAAACGCAGCTGGATCTGGCGAGGGTGCTGATACTGCCATTGAATCTGGTGACAGGGATGTCTCTGAAGAGCAATCCGGGTTTGAAAACCAGGCAGCTGACGAGCCGGAAGAGTCGGGCGAGTCTGTTCAGTCTGGGAACACAGACGAAGGAGAGGAATCTGGAGAAGAGGCAGATGAGGAGGAGAGCCAGGAGACAAGTTAGTTGAATCATTAGAGATATTTAAATATGGACATCTTAACGTCACCTGGGCACGCTCATTCCAATATAAACTTTCAACACAGTTTAGTTTTCAAGTGACTGCTGATAAAAAATTTGTAATCACGTGTTATTGTCCATACACTTGACCTTGGCGTATTTTGGGAATAAAGCAAATGTCAAAGTATTACAGAGCTCCTAAGTTAATCGCTATCGCATGGATCACTGATTTCCATGACTATGGTGTTAAGTATTACGGATTATAGAATACTATATTTTGTTTTTCTCACAGATTCTGCACGTGTTGTAAGGGTAGTTGAAAATGAGCATGATGATGTCACTTTGTCCCGTCATCGTAGAGAACTGCCGGAGGTTTTGGATGAAGAAGATAAACCAAAGGCAAGATCCAAGGTGAGAAGTTTTATAGAAACTGGTATTCACACGATTGTGGAATGCTAGGAGATTTGATAAGACACGTATCGGTGAATCAGTTCTTGTCATTTTATTTTGATGGAAACCCTCTAAAAACTGAATTCCTTCCTAAGAAGACAGTTGGTCCCACTTTTTCACAAATTACTCACAAGATGAGAGAACTTCAACGACCTAATGTTGAGTCATTTTTCGACTTGAAAAAACAAATACGGAAGCTGTTTAAAATTAATTTGGCAAAGAAGCAACATGAATGAATGAGATTAAAACGGATTGCAAAAAAGGTCGAGTTCGGGGATTTTAAGCGAAAGAAACAGCTTTCGATCTAAATCCTTTTCTGACCTGTCTACCTCTCTAAAGGGATCTGTTGGTGTGGAGCCTAGTCTTGGGCTGCGCTCAAACTGTACTGGTCGGAATAACTCCTTTGTTTCCTTGTAATAAGCCTTTTACATCTGTGTTTTAGAGACAAGATTTCATACTGAATGACAAAAATATCAATAAGATGCAGGACCAAGTAACTCAAGGTACAATGAAAGTTAATCAGTTGTTCATACTTGAATCCAAAGTGACGATGTTAATTATTGCTACAACATTTTTAAAGAATTAAGAAATAATAAATATCTGCTGTTTCCAGTATTGGGTTCTTTGCCGAACTGACAGCTTTGGCAGAGCTTGTATTTGTATCTTTATTTTTGATAATAATGGTTACAATGCAGTCAGTAGTTGTTGCGTTTTCCACCTTACAAGTTGCACTGGTTACTATTAATGTTCATCATTGATTCGTTTGTCTTTCCTTTCCCTTCATATCGATGTCTTTGACTGATGAATTAAGCCACAAGTCTAACTTTGCTTTCCACGTCTGACTTTGTTTTCCAAATTTATTACGAGTTGACCTTTTCCCTTCGTTTCAGGAGTGGACAATATAATGGGCCTGATAGTAGATATATATCAGTCGAAGAGGACCCTGGCGAGATTGGGACAAGTTGTTAGCCAATTGAAACAAAATGTGATGCAACAAATGGATGTGCCTGTTGGACAGAGAGATCAAGCAAGGAACAAACTCAGAAATACTGTTCGACACACACTAGTGCAGAAAATTAACGGTGAGAACTGACCAATCCAATTGAAATATTCTGATTGGTCTGTAATCTTTGGTCTTCATGAGACATTTGTTAGTGAAAGCAAAGTGTTTGCTCCAACCGAAGGCTAAAGCTCGAACTGTCAACTTTTTGAAAATTTTCAAGGCCTTTTATCAACCTCCAGTGTCAGCTTTTTGAAATCTGTCAAGGCCTTTTATCAACCTCCTGTATCAGCTGTGCCGGTCATTATTTATTTACTCGGGGTGGGGAGGGTGGGAAGAGGGTTGGAGAGTTTGGTTGTGTCACGATCATTGAATTTTATCTGATCCCCCCATAACACTCCTCAATATTCTCATGAAACCCCTCCCCCTCACTGGCGGCTAATCGGCAGTAAATTTTGTCTGGTTCTTTTTTGCATACTCCGTTTGGCAACGACTGATCCTCCCTTAGCATCCTGCCTCCCTCCCCCCTGAAAACCATAGCATCCCACCCAAAATCCTCCTTCCCCACTACCATCAGGTGATCAATTTTAACTGGTTCCTAAATCAGACTGTGTTTTCTGCACTCGACATCTTGGTATATTTTAGCCACAGCTATCTCTTAATGATTTGGTTTTAGTATTGTGTCGCCTAAGGGGTCAGCCCAACGAATCCTGTATTTCAAATTTACATTACCCATACTATTTGACTATCTTCAGAGCTTGCTCAGTCAATTCGCCAAGAAGTTGAAGATTATAAACAAAGTCACCAGGCAGTAAGTCAACAAGCTAAGGAGGCCATCTCAGCTCTCTTGGACATTCCCGTTTTCCAAGATAAAGTTACCAGCTTAAAAAGCACAATCAAGAAAAGAGCTGCAGATATTGAGAAAGAATATAAGAAAGCCAAAAGAGGCAGCGAAGAACTTCCAAGTATTTTAAAAGAACACTTCAAGAGAAATGCTCCAGCTGATATAAAAGGGGAAAAGAGGCTTTCACGTTCCCACAGAGATTTGAATCTATAAAAACTACTCAAACACAGTTACAGCGGTGACACTTCAATGCACATAAATCGACTGCTTCCTGTAATAAATCACGATGAATGATCTGTGATGCAATTTGGGAGTGTTAAGCGTGGGAATGAAATCTTAAAAGAGAGATACTTTGTAACATTAGACGAACATGTAGACAACTACATGAGAATTTTTCATGAGAAAGAATCACAAGGTTTAATTCAGATTTTTTGGGGAAGGTCACCTCGTGACTTCATCAAGACATCACACCAGTTTCTATAGTATGTAATAGCTCTTATTTTATGAAAACGTTTGTTCGAATATTTTTTTCCTTCAGCGTAGTACTATTTCTGCACTGTTATCCTCGAAGGATCTGATAATGAAACACGTAGAAAATTGATCACCAATGCATGTGGAAATTTCATCGCCTCACCTTAAGGGTTCTAAGCTAGGGGTGTTTATTTAAAAGTGCGAACACTAGTGTTTACTACTACAAAACTGTTCCGTCGTTTTTCAAATTTACTTTTTATTAATTATGATATTCATCATATAATGGAAACTCCACTATATTGCCTGGGGTGCCAAGACAACACTGTGCCACCGAGACGGTTTTACGGAGCTTGCAAGAGACGTTTATGCACCCGTGTCTGACTTTAAACCCCCTCCGCCCCCCGCCCCTTTCCATTGCTAGGTAGACCTCAAGTCCGTCTATCATCATTTTATTTTAGCAATTTACTATTCAGTAGGTGAAACAGAACTTTAGGCAATTGCTTTCTTTCTACCCGTGGTAACAGCCACCTCGAAGAGTTCACTTTTACCAGGTAAAATGTATTGGGTGATGTTTGTCTTTAGAATATCACAACATCTACGTAAGATATTATTTTCATCGGTCTGTTGACTTGTGATGTATTGTATTGTCAGCATAAAAGTCGATAACACAGCTTATTATCTTTTCCTTGACAATTTTATTGAAGTAGGATAATCGAAAACGTATCTAGCAAGACACAAATTCCACAAAGTTGTTTTGCTTAGAAATTGTACAGCCTTGATTTCTTGCTGAAAATTTTAACTTATACTATAGCAAAAAACTAAAATTATTTTATCTCATCAAAAGGTTCGTAAAATTTTACAATGCATGCAAATAATTTATCTCTCAATTTTTCAAGGAAGCAAAACTCTAAACTTAGCGAGGTCACTAAATTTCTGTAAATAATTTTGGGAGGGCTCTGACCTCGTTATTGTACATGTTTATTAATTAAAGTTGAATTAGAACTCCTCGAAGACAATTGTTCCTGTTCCTGTACATGACTCATAAGTCCTAAGTTGTTTTAACATACAACGAAACAAATACACGTGGATTACTTTCATTCGTAGATTTAATTCGCTTAATGAAATTATTGGAAGTAATTACTGATCAGTTACGTCTACCATGCTGATATTACAACAAATGCATATTCACACAAAAAGGCAAGCTAAAGTAACTTAAATTATTTTCGTCGATGGACTCCGGTAAAATAAATCAGGGTTTGCGTCACTTACATCATATTGATTGCAGATTGGGGCTAACGATGGCACCCAATCTGCTAACTCAACTTAACCTTCCTCATACGGTTTGCAGAAACTTAGCAGAAAGTGTTTCGATTTCCTAATTACCTCGGTAATTAGGAGATGTGGGTTACTGAACTAAATTTTATGGGATAAAAGAGTAAGTTTCTGATGAAACTGTGGTGCTACGTCGGTGGGAGAGTATAACAGAGTAATTTACGGTTATCAACTGAGTTGAAAACGTAAATTGGCCACCGTAAAAAAGTTTAAAGGCTGACGTTTCGAGCGTTAATTTACCTTTTCAACTCAGTTGATAACACTAAATTACCTTAAATTTTATAGGCAACACTTGATTCTCCGCTAAATGACATCGGCGTTTAATTCAGTAGAGAAGAACATTGTATACTTTTAACCATTGTCTACTTTTAACCATTGTCTACTTTTAACCATTGTATACTTTTAACCATTGTCTACTTTTAACCATTGTCTACTTTTAACCATTGTCTACTTTTAACCATTGTCTACTTTTAACCATTGTCTACTTTTAACCATTGTCTACTTATACATTTCCTTTATACTTTTCTTTCGAGCTATTTCCTATTTTGAATCAAACTCGTTTTGTTGTTCGTTTCTCAGAAACACAGCTAATTTTGTAGAGGGTATTTCAACCCCTTGGTGCCACATATTTTATGTACTGCGGTATGTACTGCAGTACTGCATTTTTTTTACATTCCATCGCTGCTCGTCACTTAAGGAAACGTTAATTTCTTTTGCAACTGTCATAACTATATTTCTCTCTGAGCTGGACTTTCTTGGGCATTCCTGTCTGAAACTGTTTGAACTTTACAACTTCCTTCAAACTTTTTGCCATTGCCTCCTCCTTCTGCAATTGAAGAATCGCTGTGCTTGTGGTTAATTGGTCCCCTAAATCACATTTTAGGTAACCATGGCTCCTCAATTTCAATGGGAAAACTTTACTTGCTTTTATGGTGTCCTGATTGTTATCTGTTGTCAAAGGGACCAAAAATACCCTCAGTGGAGCAGGATTATCGGCGTGACTAATGGTTTATATCAATTATGTACTTTGCTGTGCTGATAATGATAATGTTGATAACGATAATAAGGTTTATGCTGACAATATTAATGATAATTATTATAAAAATAACAATAAAGATAGTTATGATAATAATATCACTAATGATAAAGATAATAATGGTAATGACAATGACAATGGTAATGATAGCGATGATGATAATAACAGAAGTGATAAAAATATAGTTTGCTATTGTGTTGATGAAATACACTTACCCTCAGTAAGGTTGTTAAAGTGAAGATGCACTGCACAAAAAAGTGACAACGCTAAGTTGATAAAATTTGCTACTGTAACGACATCGCTATCTCCTTATGTGAACATATATTTCATAAGTTCACTGCTAAAGGTACATTTTTTTAAAAAACAGGAGAACTTTTTATGCTTCATTTTCACCAATTTGATAGGAATTACCGGGTATTTTTAAAATGAATAAAGAACTTGTTGTTTACCTTTGCGAAAGAAAAGATCTATCGATGGGAATTGTTCGCTTTAATCTGTCAAAAAACAAAAAGATATTTTTAGGAACTAGATAAGGAGAGTTGTGTTGATTAGCTTCACTGGGTAATTCATGGATTAAAAGGTACATTAAAATTGAACATCGGCTAGGCATTTTAACCCTATATATTTATCTTGTTTTATTTACTTAACGCACCATTAATTTTTGCACTGCTGCCCAGAGTTCCGGGTTAGGTTTAGCCTGGGATCGGATAAGGGGAAATGCTCCACCAACATCTACTGAGAAAAAGCGCACATCAGTAAGCAACGATAGAAACATGTAGGAATTTGTTTTCTTTTCGGGATGGAAGCTAGTTGACGGAAAAACCGTTGGAGTGATCTTTCATGTTTAAAACACTCATGACAATTGCAAACTTTGTTTTATAACAAAAGAAAAACGAAGGCATGATCTGATACTCATTTCTGGCATCCATGTTTGGATAGTCCGCTGAACCTCGTTGATTGAATCGCTGTAAAAAGCTGATGAAACCGTGAACATGAAGTGTACCCTTGCAATAAGAGCTATAAATAAAACTTAACCTTGATGTAACGCCTGATCGAGGATTCAATTTGGGCTGCATTGTGGAGTCAAGCGTTTTCATCGCAGAAGGAATGTGCCGGATTTCTCTGACAACTCCACGGTTTTCGTGAATAGGGAATTAAGGCTCATGCTCAGAACAGATTAAGCCAGGCTATTAAGCTAATCTATCATGATAAGATTGCCTAAGACATTTTAAAAAAATTAGCACGCAACGCTGATCTTTGCGTACATTTTGTTTTATGACTACCAAAAACGTGACATGAAAGAATGTCGTCAGAGTAAATGGTATTCGACTGCTGAATATTTCGATAAAACAGGAAAATGTGCTGAAGCCGTTAAAAATTAGGTCACAGGGAAAGCCCTGCTGCAATATGAGATCAAGAAAACAAAATAAATTCACATGATGTGTAGGAGCAGTTTGTTAGAAAAATGATCTAGTCAAACCTACATTCCATTTAAAACCGAAAATTAGTCCTTATTTTGATGGAAAAATCGGCGCTGATGCAGCTTAAGGAGTATTAACGTCATGTTAAGCCGTTAACAACTGGCTTCGTTCCCGCCACAATCAGCGTTGAGTTTATGTCGGCCCTCATACTATTTTGGTTAAACTAATTTCAGTGATTCTGTCTCGAAAGGAACGTAAAGTCTAACGATTGCAGTCTGTCTATTCTTGAGAGTCAAAGAGTAAACCGTCTGAGTTATAGTGTTATTTCTGCAATGAACCAAATCTGACTTTTGCGCTTCGGTTCAACAAATTCGTTTTCGTTGTGACCCGATGGCGCCCATCTTCGAAAAACCAGATTCAAAAGGCGTCATATCCGCTGAAATTACATAGACACCATCACAAACCTTGAACTGGAAACGACGTAACCACATGAAATGCCATAAAATACGAAAATGCAATCCAAAATAGCTTTAAGAAGTCCATACTGCCCCGAAAGTTAACGTTGCCAGAGTAAAATCCAAAAACCAATATGTGTTTGGCTGGAGCAGGAATTCTTGAGCAAACAACAAGGTGTATTGGTACGCAATTGGGTGACCCAGATTACCTGTGACTGGTAACCTGCACTGAGTTTAACAACATATGACATCATCACTGAAGGTTTACCACAATTAAATTCAAACTCATCGGCTCGCTTCTTGAGCAACCTTGACCAAATTATTTTCCAAGAAAATCACTCAATTAATCCCATGGAAGAAAAAAAGTAAACTTTACGAAAAGATTTTCAATCCGTGTGCCAAGAATTATGACATGAAACAGGGCTTACGTATTCTGATGAGATTGTTCACTGATTCAAGGGTCTGTTGGTTTTCACGATCTAAGATAAAAGCCATCTTTGGCTCAGTGAACACTAAAAAGTTTATCTAAAAATGTAAACACAACTACAGAGCGTGTGAGGTACCGAGAAAATGTATGGTGTATGAACGCAAACTAATTTTTGCAAGCAAAAGAGGGATAGAAACTGTAAAGGAAATCTTTTATTTGTAGACAACTTTTCTTGGGGAGGAATTAATAAAATATTTTTATTAGCGTTACTTTGGTCACTAAAGAAGTAGTGTTGTTTTTGAAGTTAAATTTCAATTCAAAAAAGCATTGGAGTTTAGTGAACAGTATTCTACCTGCACGGAAGAGGTACAAAAAAACCTGATTCCACTACTTTCTAGAAGGTTTTAAAAGACAATTTTTAAGCCAATGTCTAGAAAACTGAGTCATCATAAAAGTGCCATGCAACCCCAACCCTACCCCCCTTACACATCAGGCTCAGGCTTCAGCCGCTATTGTCCATGGGTTGATTGGTAGAAATTAGTCCTTCGACTCTCCCAGAAATTGTTAAAAATATTTGATTTTCAACCAGTTCACAAAATAATCAGCTTTGCTTTTGACCGGAGCTCCTAGCTCCCACAGCAATAATTACTAATGCTTTTCATGCTGGGTGAGTGTATGTCGGTTCATGATTGCAACTGTGACCATGGTTTGAACATACAACAGATTGATATGAACTTGTATGATAGATCACGTCCATTGTGGCTTGTTTTGGAATGCATCACTCCCCTCCCCCCCCCCCTGCTTATCATTTTAGACGCGCTTTACCGCTTACCATTGAAATTCTCAAATTTCGTGCCAGTTCTTAGAATTTGAGAGCGGCGAACAACATTCATTGTTGGGGATTTTTATCCTCAATAACTGATTGACAATTTCACAAAAATCTACTTTTTCTTTTTTCTTTTTATATCGTCATAAAGAGTCGATTTCAAATTGCCGATTACATTCCAGGTTGCTGTATTTAGAGAAGAAATGTCGATATGAAATTGTTTGCCTTTCAGGAATGGGATCATTCATCTAATCAAGGCAATTCTGATTGTTAGCAGGGTAATCTTGACAAAAAAAATGCGTCTTATCATACGTGGTGGCACGTAAGAACCACATGAAAATTGATTTCTTTGAAATCTAGATTGAAATTTAAAAATAACAGACGCACAGAACAACTTGTTACTAGCAGTTAAGCAACATGGAAAAGGGATGATTTTCAGAAATATTTTTTGTTTCCTCACCATTCTTACTCGTCTACGATCTTATACATTAATTGTGTGTTTCAACATCGGGAAACATGTTTCGAATTTCTTTGTCTATCTTCTTTATCTTCTAGTAGATAAGAGCAATTTAATAGTGAGAAATCACATCATGCCTACATTTTTTGCTAAAAAGTAAATTCAATAATATTAGCGGTCCTTGCTGCCATTTGATTGCAAAATTTGCTTTGCTTTGATTCGACTCCAGAAGTTAACGATGGTGTCTTCCCCCGCTCTGCGCACTGCTCTTTTCTTTGCAGAGCTCACAGAAAGGAACCTACTTTTGTAGGGATGTGTTAAACACTTGTTTGTTTAGCAGGCATCTGTGCACTTCGTGATCTGCAAGTTTCTTTTCCGCTGCTCAGGGTAGTAGAGACATCAGGGCTACTGGTAATCCGTTTTGTCACGCTGAGTGCTATCAGCAAAATCTTTTCATATCTCAGGGAACGTGTCAGAGAATCAATTCACTGTTTCATTGACATTAATTTTTGTTTCAAAGGGAGCTGTAGAGTGATTGATCTGAAATGACATGATATGATTATGACATAATCAAGGCTCTTTTTCCCTTTTTTCTTGAATTTCAGGAATCGGCTATTCAATATATAAATGGATAAGACAAACATTTTCAGCCCCAAAATGGAGAAAAAAGAATGTAGGTCATATTAAAAATTGCTTTTTCTAAGAAAGCTTCTTCGTAATGACTTTTAATCAACTCCTTTTAAGGGTGCGTCTGTTACTGGATGAAACAGGTCACATGACGTAACGGATATTTTGACAGGTGCATTCACGATGCACTTGGCTTGCCGCTTAGTTTCTAAAACATAAACTTTCCACATTGGGCTCGATGTTGTCAATGTTGGCTAAAACTTTTGAGGTGACAAACATTCGTTGTACATATTTTTTATTCAATAATTTTCTAATTATCATCTTTACCTTCTTTCTAACCTTTATTTTTAAGCACTCTTTACAACAGATTAAAATTTTTCCAACTGTTATCGTGGGAGCAAATCTTCAAAAAAAAAGGAGACCAAAGCAATTACTAAGCTGCCAGCCCCAAGTTCACTAAATTTGCTAAACTTGAATCGATGAAGCCGTTTTGAAGGAGAATTCAAGATACATTCAAATTGATATTATTATTTCCACGGCTCTTTGATTTAATTGAAAAACATCATAAGATACATGGTGATCCATTGTTCAGAATCAGTCAAATACCTAGGCACAGTTGACGAAGTTAATAAAACATTAACAAGTTAGACATCACTTCCGTTTGTCAAGAGCTTAGGGCCGATCAGTTACAATACCACCGCGACTTTGCCGGGACATTTATTCACAGGAAAATACATTTTTTTTTGCTTGAGTTAAAGGTTCGTCGCTGTCTTCCCTTCAGGGTGTAACATTAAGTGATTACAAGGCTGTAGATATAGAAAATGTCGACGGTAAATTGCCATGAAGCGATTCCAATAAGATTTTCAGATAATGAACTGTTAATATTCTATCTAACCAAAGCCGACTTTGTCAGGTGTAGATTTGTATAAATCTATCTTTTTATAGACGATGTTATTTGTTTAAGAATGTGTGTTATAATCCGGCATTTTTGTAGATCTCGGACGTGTGGTTTGGTCATGAAGGCACCGGTTGTTCTTGTGGTTGTCATTGTTCTCTGTCATAGCATCAAGGCAGGTGGGTTTACACCACGGGAAACACAGACAAGAAAAGTATTATTTTTGTCAAAGCTATATCGTTTTGTATATCGTTACTAAGCTTTGTCCAAGTTGTTTATTCCCTCTATGGATAAATCTTCCAGAATGTAACCTCATATTCATGATTGATAGAAAGTTATATTATTTAAAACACCATGAATATTTCCTTGCAGTTTAGGTCCTGAAATAAGATTTGTGTGGCTGAAAGCCTTATCTCTAACCATCTTACATCCATTTAGAGTAAACTTCAGACTTACTTAGCAACGAGTTGATAAGCATTCATTCAATGGCAAAGTGAGGACGTTGATAATTTCTTGTTGGTAATATGTTTAGATAGTTTTTGTTGAACGAACCATTCGTCGGAGAAATTTATAGTACAATTGAAGAAGACGTACAAGTACTCCCCTGATCTTATAACTACGGGCAGAGAAAATATGTAAGAGGTAATTAAGCCCATTTGGAGCTGCTTGAGAAAATACTATGATCCACAGAACAAAACTATTAGGTGGCCAAAGACCGGAGTTACATACAAAGTACCTTCCAATTCTTTAAAAGTAATGCGTGCATTTGTTCCGCCTCGAAAACATAACCATGCAGACACAACATAAAATCAGATCGAGGTAAATACAACAAAATCGACGTTCCCCTCTGCTATGACGTCCGCACTCGTGAAGCGGAGATCGGAGTAAGGAGCTGTTGCTTAGATCCATCTGCTGGAGTCCTGAATTCAGGAATGTCGTCGAGAAGTTCTTTTACTTGAAACATTTGTCTCCCTATATCTTTTTTATCATTTGTAAGCGCTTTATAGTCGAGTTTAGTTTATACGGGCAAACATTTCCTGAAAAAATTTGAGTTGTTAGTTACTTGGTGGGAGAAGAGATGGTTTAGAGATCACCACGATGGACTTAAGGTCGAGTGGTGTTGGTTTGACCATTGGCTCGGTCATTGTTCTGTGCTCTAAGGAAATGTGCTTTACCCTGATAGTGCCTCCATTCATCCAGGAGTATTAATTGGTACCGCAAACATCAGCAGTAATGATTGTTTGGTTCGCAACATGTGAACTAGTATCTTCCAGTGACTTTTAGTTGTTCAAAGCAAGCCCTTTATCTTTATTGCAAGATGACAGCTTTAGTGGGGAATTTCCGGGAAGCGGCGAAAAAGACTCACCTGAGACAAAAACTAACGATGACAAGTGTGAGCCAAACCCGTGCCAAAACGGAGGCACCTGTGTTGTTAACTACGATCTTATTGATGGATACAAATGTGAATGTGAAGAAGATTTTGGTGGGATAACATGCAACGGTTAGTTTAACAAACACATGGCAGCATAAATTCACACATTCGTTTCACTGTTTATATTATGCTAGTCATACCATTTTTCCTAACTTGTTTGTATGTTTTTGTGACAAAGTTGATATTATTACAATTAACGTCAAGGGGTTGTTAAAAATTGTTTAGACCGACAAACTGCGGCGGCATTACAAAATCCTGCAACATTACAAAATACGTAGGTCGCCTTTATTACAAAATGCTGCAGTACCTATTACATAATGCGCAAGTTATTACAAAATGCCGCAACCATTATTACAAGACACGTAGGTTATGACAAATGCCGCAGAACACATACCACTGAGCTAAATAGAATTTAATCGTGAGCCAGGTAAATATCCCTTAACTCCCACGACAGACCAAGACAGAATTTCTCCGC